TTCCTAGTCTCAAAGGCTGGGGTCATGGCATCTGAGGTGTCAAAGGGAAGAACCATGGCCTCCTAGGTTTCAAAGAGTCAGAGCTTTACCAACTCTGGCTATTATTTGTAGCCATGAGAGTGAAAAAAGAAAAGACATCTTTGCATCTTTCTTCACGGGAGAAAGATGAGGCGGTCTGCTCCCGTAAAGATTCACAGCCTTGGAAACCCTGTATAGGGTCACTATGAGTCGGAACTGACTCCACGGTACTTAACAACAACAACAATGATATTTAAGGAGTCCTGGTGTGGCGCTGTGGGTTAATGTGCCAGATTTCAAAGTCGTTTGAACTGCAAGGTCGGTGGTTCAAGCTCACCAGTTGCTCCTCAGAAACCCTAGACAGGGTCGCTATGGGTCGGAACCGATTTGATGGCACTTCATAACAGCAACAATGGCATTTAAAGGAGCTCTGGTAGCGTAGTGGTTACAAATCGGGCTGTTAACCTCAGGGTCAGCAGTTTGAAACTACCAGCTGTTCTTTGGGAGAAAGATGAGGCTTTCTGCTCCTGTAAAGATTTACAGCCTCAGAAACCCTGTACAGGGTTTCCAGCTGCTCCTCGGAAACCCTATACAGGGTCGCTATGGATCAGAACTGACTCCACGGCATATAACAACAACAATGGTATTTAGGGAGCATGGTGACTCCATATGATAAGCACTGGACTGAAAACCGTAAGGTCAGTGGTTTCAGACTGCTAGCTGCCCCACTGGAGATAAATGAGGCTTTCTGCTCTCTCAAAGACTTGAAGCCTCAGATACCCTATACAGGATTGCTATGAGTCGGAACCGACTTGACGGCACTTAACAACAGACACATGAATCACTGTTGAATGAAAAAATGCAAAATTATATTACGCTTTGTTTCAAACGAAGTAAAATTTATATATGTGTATAGATGTGAACTAAGAGCAAATTTAATGAGTGTGTTTAGGTCGTGTAACTATAGGTGATTTTTTCACTCCCTTCTGAATTTTACTGCTGCTTAAATGTTTGTTATCTTGCGGACTGACAGAAGTTTATAACTAAGTTGAATGAATATTTATCTAGAAAATATAACCTCTTTGTATTAGCTTTTAGGGATTTAAAAATATGAATTTAGATAATTTTGTTAAAACTCAATTAAATCTATTTGAAAATTACCCAAATTCTGGCAAGCTTAGATATTTAATATGTAAGAGCTTTCCAATTGAGACTTTTTTCTCAATTGAGAATTTCAGTAAGATTTGCAAACTGAAGCACAGAGATAAAATCAAACTGCCAGTTCAAATTCACAAGCCGATCCTTGGAAACCCTACACAGAGTTGCTATGAGTCGAAACTGACTCGAAGCACTTAATAACAACAATGTGATATGTAATACCTCTTCTGTACTTTCACGATGCGGTTCCCATGCATCTACAGTAGCATGTTGCATGTTGCATTGTTTCATAAAGATTATAAATCACAAATATTATTTCATAAATCATAAAGATTATTAAGTACTCAGAGTGAGTTAGACATTGAAATATGGCTGGAATATAAAGATGAACAGGCACAGTTTTATTCTGGAAGAGCTTAGCAGCTAAGGGAATAGACAAGTAAAAGGCCATATCAATGCAACAGGTATGTACTGTGCTGGTGTAAACGTAGTGTGAGAAGGGCCACAGAGGACGTGCACCTAACCTAATTCAAGGAAAATATCTGCTTATGTAGCTCTTGATTCTATAAGTCTGAATTCCATGAAGGTAGCAATCAGGACAATTTATCATTGTATATCTTTTATTGTTAACTGCCACTGAGTCAGTTCTGACTCGTAGCGACTCTGTATAGGGTTTCTGAGGAGTGGCTGATGGGTTTGAACCACCATCCTTGATGTTCAAACTGACCTTGTGGTCCAGTGCTTATCTCACAGTGCCACAAAAGTATCTGTGCATCTGGAACATGGTAAGTATTCAAAAGTGATTAAATGATAGATAGCAATATGAAATCACTTTACTAAGTCTTAGAAAACCATGCTGAGGTTATCTCTGACTATGTGTCCACTGCCATAGTGCCGATTCCGACTCACAGTGACCATACAGGACACAGTAGAACTGTCCACTAGGGTTTCCAAGGCTGTTATCTTTTTCCCAAAGAGTGGCTGGTGGGTTCAAACCAAAGACCTTTTTTGGTTAGCAGTCAAGTGCTCAACCATTGAACTACCAGGGCTTTAAAAAGTTTGAGGAAAGAATGACATTATCTTTTTGTTCCATTTTTCCATGAACTTTTTCAAATCCACTCTATGTATATGAATGTGTCTATAAATAAATATAAGGAGCTCTGGTAGCATAGTGGTTATGAATCAGGCTTCGAACCACAAGGTGAGCAGTTTGAAACTACCAGCTGTTCCGTGGGAGAAAGATGAGGCTTTCCGCTCCTGTAAAGATTTACAGCCTTGGAAACCTTGTACAGGGTCGCTATGAGTCGGAACCAACTTCACGGCACACAACAACAACAGTAAATAAATATAAATACACACATACAAGTGAGCTTCAAAACTTTGTGGAAAACGGAATGAAAAGATAATAGAGTTTTTCCATAAATTTTTTGAAGCATGGATTTAATTTAGAAGATTGTCTAGATCCCTGGATACTCTTCTCAAAGTCTGAAAAATTCTATCTCTGTTGTGATTAAATGCTGTCGAGTCAGTTCTGACTCACAGTGACCCTTTATAGGGTTTCCAAGGAGCAGCTGATGGGTGTGAACCGCTGACAATGTGGTTCGTGGTTAGCAGTCCAGCACTTATCCTACAGAGCCACACCAGGACTCCTATCTTGAATTTCTCTTCTAGAATTTCAGCCTTTGCTACATCACACTTGCAGAGAATTTGGGCTCTTAATGAAGTAGAATTCAATCGTGTGGGAAAATAAGGGATTAACTTAATTCCACAAAGAGTACTGTTATATTCTTTCCTTATCACTTTTTTCTACCACAACAGAACAAAGCGGTTTGGAATTTGAGACCAAACTTTGTAATGGCTCATTGAGTCAATCCGCGATCCAATTTGTATTTCTGCATGTCAGTGGAATAAAAATCTGTGTTTTCAGGGTATAATGTCAAAAAATTCTTTGATTGCATTGGACTATTGGGCAACTAACTAATCAGTGGTTTGTGGCTGTGTAGTCATTCCTCACGATGAAATCCTTAGCCAGAAATGATGTCAAAGGAGAAGTTTTCTTGCAGAAGCTGGAATGAATCATGAGACAGTACTACAATCAAACCACAATAAAAGCAACCTCTTCCTGGGTTCCAGATGTGTAAATCAGACTTAGTTTTAGAATTGGGTCTGCACAGTGATGCTGTATACTTGTGAATATGTATGTACATGAATAACCATTTTCTATGAGCACATTTAGTATGTTGTGAATGAGGATGAATCAGGATTGATAAATTTGAACACCAAAACTTCAAACTTCTGTTAGTGCCTAATTTTCCTTGAGAGATTACTACTGGCTTGTATTTCTTGTAAATTAGTAGTTAATATGGGGGCATTTTTCAATCAGCTTTTCGAAGACCCCTCATATTAAGAGCTTGACCTGTGTCCATGCACATAATGTATCAGCCTCTGTAGTATATATCTGTAAACTATATGTAGTATAAAGGAGCTCTGGTAGCGTAGTGGTTACGAATCGGGCTGCGAACCTTAAGGTCAGCAGTTTGAAACTACCAGCTGTTCCGTGGGAGAAAGATGAGGCGTTCTGCTCCCGTAAAGATCTACAGCCTCGGAAACCCTGTATAGGGTCGCTATGAGTCAGAACCGACTGCACGGCACATAACAACATATATAGTATATAGTGAAATATATGTAATATATCATATTACATACAGTTTCTCATTAATCTTCATGACAACTGGCATTAGTCTTATTTGACAAATGAAGTCACTGAGACACAAAGAGATCACTTGTTACCCACAGAGTAAATGCTGAGCCGGGACTTGAACTCACGTCTCTCTACTCCTAGGTTATGAACTTATGATCCCACTCTATGACACTGGTGACAAAAACTGTTGACAACATAAGGGTGATTTCAATTTATATGATCTTCACTCAAGAATATCAAAACTAAAACTTTCCAAATTTAATTCAGAAAAGCTGGATAAGGAAAAGAAAAACTAAGAATCAATTCCTGTGCAGTAAAGATTGTAACTCTTTTAGCACATGCTTTTTCTCAAAAACTTATATGAAATAAGTATCAGCTAAAAAAGTCAGCAGAATCTATTAAAAATTACCCTATAGAAGCCATGAATAAGGCCTCTCTTCCATAGCCTGCTCACTTTAAATCAGGGCACTTCGTACACAGTCATTATGTTGACTATGAGTGTGTATGTGGGCGTGTGATTTTCCCTGGAGGGTTAGTTTAATTTGTATAGTTGCTCCCCATATTATGCCAGTCTTCATAGGGGTTTCTTATAAAATAGTAGCATATGTTAGTTTTAAATAGCCAGTTGTTCTGGCTTTAGTGGTCATGAGCGCAAACACTACAGCCAGCCTAAGTTCAAACACTGACTTCTACTTCCATAGCAATGTGACCTTGGATAAGTTACGTCATCTCTCTGTGTCTCCATTTCCTCATTTGTAAGATAGGAATCATAGTGGAAGTCACCTGTTAGTACTATTGCGTGGGCACAGCTTAGAGCTGTGCCTGGCATTAGGCTGCTTGAGGACAGGGTCTGGATATCTGTCTTTGGCAACCCACTGCTTACATCATGGTGGGCATGAGTCAGTGCTAATAAATACTGGTTGAGTGAATGGATGAATGGATGGGTGGTTGCCTTTTTGGTTTGATAGGGTTGTCATTATATACATATGGTGGATAAGAATGTATGACCTCGTAAGGAATAATTACTTACTGTCCCTCAGTGTTGGCGAAGGTGTAGTTCCACTGGCCATCATAGTTAAGACACATTGGTCCTTCTGCTAACCCCAGCGCTGCCACAATAACACAGTAGCCAGATCCTATAATTCCGATGAGGGCAGCCAGTACCGAGGAAAACATCTAGAGAAAGCAGATATACAGGCAATAATCTATCAAGCATCACGGCTGCATCAAAAGAGCCCTTTTCACCATCAGGGTGACAGGACCTACCGCACATCTCTTGCCACAGTTCTGCTGGCCGCAGCAACCACAGCAGTCTTCCTCCTCCAGTCCAACAAAGACAGATGCTGGCAGGAATATCTGGGCAGGAAACAAGAAGATTAAACTCATTTTCTTTTCCCATGTCCATCTGGACCAGGTTAAACATCTTTTGGCAAATACATTTCATCCACTGGGTGGATGAGGTACTTTCTATAGTGTTGACTAGCACTGGACTAGATTAACCAAGTATCTCAAAGGATAGAAACCTCTGAAGAAAAAAAAAAAAACAAAACCAAGCTCTAAGTACAATATCCGCTTGTTTTTAAAGCATTCTTTAGGGTCAAGGTGGAGAATGGGAGGGGTAAAATAATAACCTACATTTGTTTATTTTGTATGAGGCCGTAACATAGTCCCAGATACAAACTTTGTTATAGAAGTATAAAACTTCCTTTTCAGATCTGATTTTGCTTCTTGTATAACATAGACAATACCAACAAATCCCTGTTACAATAATTGAAACTTTTTTCATAAACAGAAGAGATGAAAGCTCTACATAACAAATGTGACTGGGACCTTTTTAACACACAGTTACATGGTTTCAGCTTCGCACTACAGCTCTTTAAGATAATGTAAGTATGAAATACATTGACTTTGAGATCAAAAGATGTTTAATCAAGTGCAATATTATGTTCAGGGCAGATGATTATATGAATGTGATGTTAATGCTTGCATTCAAAGCAAGTTTGCCATGTCATAATTTGTGTAATAGGTTTAAATGTTTTAATATCCTTCACTAGGTAAACACCACAATTCCTGGATGGTATTAGCAATTCCATAAAATCTCCTCTAAATTTCTCAATCCAGGCATTTTAAAATAGCAACTCAAGTTTGTCCACATTCTTTCCATGTTGTGGTTGAAGCTAATACTTTCAGCTCAAAGATTGGCAGACAAATTCTTCTGAATTCAATTAAAAAACAAACCTTGGAAAACACAACACATTCCGCCATGAGCTTCAGACACTGGTCTGCTGCTAACTGCAGGATTTTCCCTAGATACCACACCCCAGAATTACATAAAGGAACAAACCTTACAGTTCTTTCTAAAAAGCAATACACTCACAGTTTGTAATTATCATCATCATCTTCTATCACACATAACAGAATAAACAGCAGGGAATTTGGATAGAAAATTCTATTGGTTTAGACAGAGAACCAGCCAACCTCTTGCTACTCCCAGGTTCAAACCGAAACAAAACAAAAATACAAATAAAAGAACTCATTCCAATCTTAGAAAATCTATAGTTTCTCAAATTTAATTTAAAAGCTAACGTTGGTTCCTTAACTGCCAAATAGGAAAGTTTAGCAAAAAGTAAAGTATTTCACATTTAGCTGAAAGAGAATTTTGTAAAACAGCACCTAACACCTGTCTTAACTTTTGTATGATCTGCTTTCAAAAGAAGAAGGTGCAAAATCCACTGGCTTTGGAACTCTGAATTACAGAAGACATTCCAGGAAAATAGGTAATGAAAATACCTAGTTAACAGGTGAGAACTTTTTAAAGTTGTAGTAATTCTTAGTGACTTACCAGTATTCCCCCTCCTAGGATCCCAGAAAAGAACCACACGAAGCGGCTGAGATGGTTTTCAGAAGCATACTTGGTTTCCCCATTGGGAAAGTAAAGCAAAATATTAGCTACAATGCAGAGGAGAGCAAGCCCCCACAAAGAATGTCCAATGCAGCGCGCACACTTGCCGTAGCACATGGTGATGACAGGGAGACTATGGGGTTTCCCCCTTTACGCAGTGGTCTGCTCAGTGATTTTCCAAACCAAATGAAGGCGCTCCCCGTTTGAGGAGAAAGAAAAAGCAATTCTCAGTTGATTCCTGCAACTTCTTAAGTACTCGGGAGTTCTTAGTCACTGGGTGGATGAGGTCCTTTGCTTTCATTGGTTCCCATTTCAGGCTCCGGTTTGGGTGGGGGTGGAGGGAGAGTGAGGGGGAGAAGAATGTCCCGCCCTGCCCTTCAAATGAAATCTCTGGGACAAGCGAAACCAGGGGCAGGACGTGAGAAACAGCCTCAGTCATAGGCAACAGAGAAAATGATTAATCCTCAACAAGGAATTCACTGTGTAGCTCTTTCACAGGATAAAGAATCAACAGGAAAGTCTCGTACAGCTTTCTAGTCGCTGCCAAGTGTCCACACTATGGACGCCCTGGTTAAGACTGCCTTTCAGTGATTCTGCTCTAAGTCTGGACAGTTTCCCATCTGAGGGCTCTGTGTTCGTTTCCACCTCTGGGCTGATTTTAACTCATGACCTGGGGCAAGTCTCCTAAGCCTACTGCTTATTTCCTTGTCTGTTCTGCACCCACTGATTTGAGAGATGTGTTGGGGAAATTACAGAGCAGGCTTCTTTGCTCTGCCTCTAGCAAGCTCTGCAGGACTGACCCTACTGTCCAGCCACTTCCAGAAGAGACAGACATCACACCTGCCTCCCAAACAAACCTGGCACCAAAACAAAGATGCCATTTGTCAACACAAAGGGTCCAGGTACTTTTTAATTCCTGAATATTTCTATCAGGCAAATCAGTGCCAAAAAGGGCTATGAAAGGCCTAAAGCTTAGAGGAAGACTGGAAAAAGAAAGACAGGAACAGAAGAGAAAGGAACTTGGGAAAGCAAAGAGGAAACAACAGTGAAAAGACTGGTGGTGAACATGATCGTCATGATCATGTGAGCATTCGAATGCTCTAAATTTGTTTATTCTGAAAGAGTACATAGAGAGTGAACACCTGAACCACCCAAACAGATCTGAAGAACAGCGGCCACAGGGTCGCCAAGGAAAAGCAGAGATATGTAGCTGTTAAGCTTACTCATGTGGATTCCCTGCAGAAGGAGGGGTTAGACATCAAAGAAGATTCGTCCTCACTTAACAGGCTGTAGCAGTAAGACAGGAGGGCTAGGTGAAGCCAGGCTCAAGGAATCATGTCTCCAAGACAGGACAGAGACAAAAGGCCAAGGTGGAGGCGTTTGTTAGTTCAGAAGGAAGAGATGAGCAAGGCTGGTGGGTCCAGAGACCGAGACCAGAGTCTGATGTAACTGGGCCCAAACTAAATGATCCCAAGATTTCTCTCAAAAAGTCCACTATGGCCAGAAGTGGACACCTAGAAATCCTCAAAATGACAAGTGGCAAGCAATGGAGTTATTCCACTGGCCCTACCACTTTGCCAAGACAGGGATACACACATGGATTCTCCACCCCAGGACACAACTAGGGTCAAGACACATACCAAATTGAGCTGGGGTTAGTGATGCGGCTTCTAGCCTGGGTGAAAGGGCTTGAGAGAAACTGTGGCCTGGGTATGAGAGGAGAGCCATGATCCAGACTGGCCTGAGGAAATGTAGATGGAAAAATGGAATGTAGGCAGGATAGCTTGGACAACTCCACAGCTCAGATGTAGGGAGCCAGGGCTTTATATCTTTCAGCACCACCATACATCCAATACATCCAACAGGACATGTGCCCACTGTCCCAGCTTTAAGTTTTCTTTGGAAACAGGATTCTACACATAGGGCCAGGGATGGCAATACAGATTGTACTGTTTTTTGTTTTATTTTTTTAAAATATCATAATTCTAACCTTCTACTCTACTGACCTATACCAGCTGGGTTCCAAAATAGGGGAGGGCACTGTTTTGATGACTTTGCCCTCTCCAAATGATTATATTCATTCCCTTCCTTCTCTCTTCCAGCCCCTGCAGGGGAAGAGGCTGAGGAGTTTGGAAAGAGGAAGTATGGAGTGATATCTCAACTCTGCTGACTTCTAGCTTTATAGATTCAAGCAAGTTACATTCCTGGGATTCTGTTTTCTCATCTATTAGACCAGTGGTTCTTAAGAAGTTTTTGAGAATCTTGTAATGATATATACCGACTTCCCAGGAAAAGAACCAAAATACAAATATGCAAACACATTCATGGTGGTGGTGTGCCTTTGAGTCAATTCTGACTCATAGCAACCCTGTATGGGATTTCCAAGGCTGTAAATCTCATCTGAGATTAAAAGCCTTATCTTTCTCCCGTAGAGCCCCTGGTGGACTTGAACTACTGACCTTGTGGTTAACAGCCCAACATGTAATCGACTATCAGAGCTCCTTAACACATACACATATTTCTTTCTATTTCTGAAGTTCATGGATTCTGTGAAGGAGTTCTGGTGGCATTGTGGGTTAAGCGTTGAACTACTAACTGACAGGTTGGTGGTTCAAATCCATCAGCTGCTCTTCAGGAGAAAGGTGAAGCTGTTTGCTCCCATAAAGATTTACAGTCTCAGGAACCCAGCCAAGCAGTTCTACCCTGTCCCACTGAGTCTCTATGAGTTAGAATCAGCTCTACAGCTGTGGGATGGATTCCCTAAAGGTCATAGAATTGATCTTCATTCACATTTCTCAAGGTGTAGCTTGTCTGGGGATCACTTGCATCAGAAATGGAGACTTCTAGTCTTACCGTGGAGTCCTGGTGTGGTGCTGAAGGACCAGCACTAGACTGCTAACTGCAAGGTTGGCAGTTCAAACCCATCAGCTGCTCCTTAGAAACCCTATGCAGGAGTGTTATGAGTCAGAACCCAATCAACTGCATTTAACAATAACAACCCTAGACATAATGAATAGGAATTTGGGGGTGGGGTGAGGCCCAGTATCTGCATTTTTTATAAATAACTCTAAATGATTCTTTTTTTTTTTTTTTAATTGTGAATTATATGATAGTTTATGTGGGAGAACATGATTACATCTCTCCACGTCATCATTTCTGCCTCCATCTCTGACATCACTGCTTCTCTGGGTAGGATCCCACACTCTGTCCCTCTACAATGATTGTCCCAGGGACCTCCTCTTCTGGACTACAAAATCAACCACTCCCCTCCTTTTGTTATAAAATGTCTACATTTACATTTCCAACCCTCACAGTCAGTCCTAATAGCAATTATTCACTATTGAACCACAGAGTTTTATCCTCATCTCTTTTCATCAGCCCCATCCAGGCAGATTGGAAACCATTCAGTGGAGGTTCTATCTTCCTCCAGATCCTCTGGACCTAGACTCCCTTTTTCTAAATGATTCTATGTTCCGTCATGCTTGGAGATCACTGGCCTGGTCTTCAGCCTCAGGTATTAGATACTCTTCAAGGCCGCTCTCATGATTCAAGGCTCCTCAGATCTAGTAGGACACACAGTGGGTGCACAAGCTATTGTGGGGAATAAATTGTAATAAGATTAATATAGGGCACTTTCAGGTCCGATCTAGCATTCCCTTGTAATATGAAGTTCTTTCTCTCGCCTCTGCTCCTGCCATTCTTGATAGCACCTTCTGATTCTATCACTCAAACTGGTCACCTAAGCCCCTGAAGAAACAGAATCCGTATCTGTTTAGGTTGATGGTTTTAGACTGAAACATTCTTTTCTGAGCAACTTCTTTGACCACCTGGTGATGGTCTTAGCCAGACTTTGTCAAGTCTTTTGGTCTTGCTCCTGGCGGTGAACCCTCAGCATCCTGTGTGGAGCCGCCATCTCCACAGACACTTTGTGAGATTCATCTCACTCTACCTCCACTCTCACCCCTGCCCCAACCCTAGTGCTCATGCTGCCTCCTACTCTTTTTACCTGGCTTCAAGAATGCTTTTTTCCCAGGATTCTACTCATATGAGACTGTCTCAAAGGGGCCTGCTCTGAGGACTGTATCTAGCAATACTATATCCCACACCCCTGTTACTCTCCATCACATAAAAACCCATTGCCGTTGAGTCAGTTCTGACTCATGATGACCCTTTGTAGACTTGCTCCATAGGATTTTCTTTGCTGTAATCTTGGAGTCCTGGTGTGGTGCTGTACGGTAAACATGGGAATCTTATCTACAAAGTCAGTGGCTTAAACCCACCAGTTAGTTGCTCCTTGGAAACCTTACACAGGGTTGTTATGAATCAGAACTGATTGGACAGCACTTAACAACAATTTTTACTGAAGCAGATTGCCAGAACTTTCTTCTGTGACTCTGTTGGGTGTCCTGTGGAGTCAGTTCCGACTCATAGTGACCTTGTACAGGATTTCTGAGGCTGTAAATCTTTATGGGAGCAGAACACCTCATTTTTCTCCTGTGGAACAACTGGTAGTTTAGAACTGCTGACCTTGCGGTTCGCAGCCCAATTTGAAACCACTACGCTACCAGTGTAGTGCAAACTGTGTGTTCCACCTTGTGACCTTCCTTAAGCATCTAGCCCTGTTCTGTTATCATCACAGAATTTTGTCATGCCCTGAAGCTATTCTGTGTACCCACTTGTTTCCTATTTTATTATCTGTCTCCCTGACCTTGCTCACTGAGGGCCAAAACCTTTCTGTCTTGTCCACTGCCGTTTTGCTAGTTCTTAGAACAATGCCTCGTACATAGTAGATGTTCGGGAAATATTTGTTGAATAGTTGAGTGAATAAATGCATGACACAATCTGTGTTTAAGCCTCTTCTAAATAGGCTGATGGTCCAGTCCTTCAGCTTCAACTTTATTGTGCCTCTCTGTGAACCCATGGTCTCTCTAAAAAGTCCTCTTACTAGTCACAGCATCACTCCTGGGCTCTGCCACAATCTGGCTGTTTGATTTTGTGCAAGTTATTAACCAGTTGATATCTCAGTTTCTATCATCCATTCATTCAACCAACATTTATTGAACCTTCCACTATGTTTTGTCAGTGGAGCTTCCAGACTAAGAAGGATGAGGAAGAAA